TACGTAAAACCTGCAGGCTCCTCGGCTAAATCCAGGCCTGTCCCTGTGTCGCACAAGCCGCGGCTCCCCCGCTCTCTTGTTTGAAGACTCTGAATCGTCCGGTTGCTTTTCAGTGCTACAGAGTTGTGTAAAGTGTTGCCCACTCAGGAGAGAGAAGATGACTAGGGATTGATTGAGCCCAGGCACTAGAAAGCCGTGACAGGAGCAGAGTTGTTAAAATCCTGCCAAGCCTTGTGCCTTGGTTGGTATTCAGCTCAGGGCTGTTCCTCCATCAGGTCTATCAGCTAAAGATTTATTGATGGCACGGATGTTTCTCTCAACATTTGGACAGCACACTCGACACGTGTTAACGTTGGATGGTATCGTGTAATCTGGAGGTGAAAATATGGTCATTTTGCGAAAACAGTTGTGAGGATGTTTGCTTGCTAATGTGATTCTAAAGTAATCCTTTATTTACAAAGTATGGTTGAACAGAATAAAGAAGAATTAAGTTTCACGTGAAGAGATTAGAGTATTAAACCAGGTTATGAAGTATGTGTATTTAGATTTGAGCTGCCACCTTTCTGCAAGCCTTACCTTTTGGCTTGAACTCCTACTATAAAATGGAGGAATTAGTACTATCTTAATTGATGGCTACAATATTGTCAGGATAAACTGATTAATGCTTGTTAAGCTTATAAGTACTGAGATGATGGTGCCTAAAGGCAGAACTGCCTGCTTGCCCGCTAGCCTGGCGTCACTTGCTTAGAACAGCAGCAGTTACAATAAGTAGCGTACAGAGTATTTCAATAAAAATAGGCAAGAGTGTCAGTTATGCAGAAATATATTCTGCTTTCAACTGTTTGCAATCAAAGATTGGAATGAGATGTTTTAATAAGCACTTGTGTTTCCTTCCTAGAATTACAACAACAGCTGCTTGTATGATGGACCTACGGAGATATCCGCTGGATGAGCAGAACTGCACGCTGGAGATTGAGAGCTGTAAGTACTTTTGCAAATCCTACTTATTCTGTGGTCAACTGCTTCAGACTTTTTATTTCCGCATTTATTTATTTATTTTTACATGCTACTAACCTAGTTGTCTTTATGTCTGATGATATTTAGATCCTTGTAAACACACGCGAAAAAATAGCTTTCCAGATGGATTAGTAATTTGTGGCACAAGGATTAGCAAAAGTTATTCTGTGTTTTGATGGACAATTTTCAGCTTTAAAAGTCTCATTCAAATGCCTTGTTGGAGTTCATGTGAGGAGCATGAGGATTATTATCAGTTCTTTATCCTCCTCTGCTGCTGAACTGTGCTGCTGCTTGTTTCCATTTTTAAATGATGGCAAGGGTTAGATTTGTCTTTGCAGTAGGTGTTTTGCAGTTTTTTATCTCCTGCTCTATTGTTAAATTTTCAATGCTCCTGAAATGCAGTCTATTATACATGCTGATTTAATAGCTGATCTGTCTACTGAGTTTTCCATATAGATAAAATTTGTGCTGTGAAATAAAATTTCATCTCTCTTCTCTGAAAACTCTTTAGGGAATTCTAAGTAACTTGGAGGAAAAAACAATTTACTATCACTTTTATAAAGACAATATTGCATGCACACATTACTTGACACTCTAATTAAGATTGTGTCAGCACTTCTGAGAAATGTTTCCTTTTCAGGAAATCTGTAGATAACTCAGCTGGGGAATATTGCTACGTCCAATGTGGCAAGCAAAATGACAATTAATGGCATGTTTTAAGGTGCACACACAGAAGTGTGTATATTATTTTAAACTTCTGAGCTTAAAGAGAAATTACATTTGATCTATGTGTGTGCAAGAGTCTGGCACTGATGTGGGGCAGCTGAGATTCTTGCTTCTCTTTTAGAAATTGTTTAAGGGTATACTTTAAATTTGCTGTCATGTTGTTCGTTTTAGCGTACTTTAAATGTATGTCAAAATGCCTTGCTGTGTTACATTTGTGGCACTTCTGACTGAAATAATTCATGTGCGTAAAGTCGGCAAACTGCATCTTTATCATTAAAGTTCCTTCCTTGCTCTGTGGTGCGATACATAAACAGCAAATGTGATTATGGATTTTACTCCTTAAAAAATACATAATGTAAAATCTTTTTTTTTATTGCAATTGCTGCAGAATTCATATTGACTGAATCTGAGTCAGGGGTTTCTAAATGCAGTCTTAAAATCAACCTACTGTGCTCCTGTTATGGGGCAAGAATTCTGTGCTGGCATGACTGTGCTCAGGTCTGGAGAGGTTGGTGGCTTAGCCTTGCTTTGTCAGAACCTTATAATCATACTGTAGCAGGGACCTGGAATTTGTCTTTTTTTCCAATGTGTGTGCAGAGACAGGATTTTGGTGGCAAATTCTAAGAAGAAATTATCAATGACTTGTTAGGCACATGTGAGTGCAGCTCCCTCCCTCTCAGCCCTGGGAACGAGCGTAATCCCCTGTACCCTGACAGCTGTGACTCGCTCAGATGCCTAAATCTCCTTGGGATTCACCAACTAAACACTCCTCTCCCTGTCATGACCCCTCTGGGAAATATTACCAGAAAATGCCTCCCAGGTCAATCCTTACTCAAAACTGAAAATTAAATGAAGTGTATCTCTGCTTTTCCACAGGAGCATGTGCTCTCAAATCATACCTTGGAAAAGGGGCTTCAGAGTTGTTGAAATCTGCTTTTTGTCCTTTGTTTTGGAGAAGAAATTCGAGCCCAGTTGCCTTACCTTGCAAGAAGCAGTCTTGGCTGCTGAGATCTTTTCTTGCAATTATTTTCCACTTGATAGAAGTGCAGAGAGAGGGTGGCAGTTTAACTTAGCCTGGTAGTTAGGATCATTACAGAAGAGCTCCTTCTTGGACCCCTCTCTTAGCTCTGTTGCAGCATCACAAAAGTAAAAGGGTTTTAAAAAGGATACTGTGTGCAACTAGCCTGTCCGCTATTGCAGGAGTAGGGCTGTTTAAGAATGTGGATAGAGGCATTACTTGAAATGTGCTTTGAAAACTTTTCTGCTTCATTAGAAAATTAATACACTTTACTCAATAGAATAACATATATAAAAACATGAATCTGTCTAATCTTTATAAATTGTTTCAGATAAAAAGCTTCTTAGGTTAAGGGAAAAAAAAAGGCAGAAAATACCTCCTGAGTCGTTTGGTGTAAATACTCAAATTTTATAATCACTTGTTTGAACTGGTAAAGCTCCATGTTAAAAATTGTCTTGATTCCTTGCCTTGATTCTGCTGGGTACCTGCTTCATAGCTGCTCTCTTATGATGCTTAGAAAAGAGTTTCTGAATTCTACCCCAAGTGTTTTCATGGCCAAGAAGGCATGAAATTATACTCATTCTGTGTTCCAACAATGTTTCTGAGTTTAATGTCTTCTCTGGCCCCACTCTGACCTTCGTAATATATTTAAAGAAAGCAGGTCTATTTTCTCATAGGTTTCACTTCATTAAACTGAACATGCCAGTCCCTTTTAGCTTTCTCATAAGAGCTAATTCTCCATTTCTCTTAACATGCTAATACTAGTTTTTGCAGCTGCTACAGTTTGAATTCATCGTTCTTCAGTAGGAATGTTGAGTACTAAAGAGTATCCCAGAAGAACTTTCTGTTATGCAATTAAATTAATCCTACCCTTTTCTCTAGACATGATCTCCTAGAGCCACCTTTGCCTTTCTTCACAGCTGCATAACTTCAGCACATCATTGCCTTTGCAGGGCCAGTGCACAGTAAGGTCTTTCCCTTTCTTGCACGTTACCAGCATTAGCCTTTAGATTTGATAACTTTTTGCTTGGTCCTAAAAAAGCATGACTTAGCATTTCGTAATACTATTCACACTAAATCAATGTCCTTGATATTGCTACAGTCTTGAAGGTTACACAGTTCTTGCTATATTTGTTCTGATCGTTCTGCTTTACTGGTGTCTGCAGATTTTGTTTCATTAGAAATTTCATTAGCACACAAATATTAAAGAAGAATATTAATGCAAGGAGGAGCATGAGAAGCTTTTCTTGTAACCATTCTTTAGCCTGAGTGTGATCTCTTTCAATGCAGTACAATTTCCTATGCATTTTTATTCACTTTTATGAATGGTCAGGTTTTCTGATAGTAGTACATAAAATGCTTTAATGAAGTCCAGTTTACTTATACTTTTTCTCAAATAAAAAAAAAAGAAAGAGGAGGATGTTGTCTGGATGGATCTGTTGGTATTACTGTATTTAAACTATGATAATTTTTATTCCATTCACCTTCCATTCCTTTTCCACTTTCTTTCCCCAGATTCTGTTATTGATATTCAAGTGATTGGTGTCTGGTTACTTGCCTATGTCACCTTTTCAAATTTCAGCATATCTGATGAAGTCTAATTTTTAAAAGAAATCTCATAGCTAATCAACCAGGAGACTAGAAGGAACTCAAGGGCAGAAAGAAATTCTAGCCAGTTTGCAGCATAGTGGTTTGCATTTGCATAAAAAAATAGCTAAATCCGTAATGTATGTCCTTTACTGTTAAATCCATATTGCATGTCCTGTACTGTAAAGAAGGGAAATGAGTGTGGATTTTCTGAATAATTTTCAAATGTAGCTATTCAATACTTGTCTGGTACATTTGAACCTCTGTCCATTTCAATTCTATAGTTACGCCTAAAGGCATGGAAGTTTGTTTCTTCTTTTCTCTCATTTCATGATAATGTGTTTGACATAACTATACTTGTATTGCTCACGAGTCATTGACTATCTTGAGGTATCATTCAAAAACTGCCTTCTGAAAACATGCTTTTCATTTCCATACTTTCTCTTTATTGCTCTTCAACAAACAAGAATTCAAATGGTTTTTCTTTTGAAATGTATTCAGAAACTTTTTAAGTAGTGTACGAGAGATGTGGTATGAAAATAAATGTATTAAGGTCCTGGTGTGAGGCCTTAGCAAGCAGGGAGCTGCCGCTCAGGCCTGTTGAGCTGGGTAAAGGGCAGAGACCAGATTAATGGAAAAAAAAAATCCAGAAAGAAGAGAAGAGAATATTATTCCTCCTTGTGGCTGTGGAGACCAACATGAAATGTTTCCTATTTGGATCCTCTGAAGGATCATCAACAAGAGAAACAGAAATCATTTGCTTGTACTGCACATGACTTTACAGATGCATGTAAAGCATAGAAAAAAATCATAGAAGCCTTTTGCTGAAGCCTGGAGTACTTCGCAGATGCTTTCTCTGGTCATCAATCATAGGTATAACTGGGTCCCATGCTCCCAGAGCCAACGGGCAGCGCTCGTTGGGGTTAGAGGCCGATGTGCTTCATATCAGGAGCATGTTCCACCAGCCCCTGGGATGCGGAGCCTTCAGCAGAGGAGGCAACTGCAGGAACGTGTCATTTCTGACATTCAGACAGTGGTTGCAAAATTGAATATAGGAGTTTGGGGCCTTTAGAGGCCAGAATTTTCTTTTTTTTTCCACTTATCAATTTTATCATGTAAGCCTTTGTCCCTTCAGCTAAATTCCTTTTGCAGTGTGACCCTTCTGTGGGGAGAAAATAAAAAAGCAGGAATTAATGTTATTAATGAAGTTTCCCTTTTTCTTCTGGGTGCATCATCTGGACGGTTGGATGTCTTAATTTAGACCATTGCAATTCAACTTGTGTAGCACTTTAGGGGAAAAGAAATGCCTTAAGAAGGATCACAAATCACGCTAAGGGACAGAGACAATATGCTCAGTGCTGGCACACATCATCTTTCTGCTAGAAAGAGGGCATGTTGCGTCGGCTGCTGTTACTCGTGGCAGCAGCCAGTGTTTTGAGTAGGTGTCAAAGCAAGTGGAGAGGGCAGAATTCCAGTCACTGGGCTAAGGTAGCAGAGCACAAAGAGGAGGTATTCTGTGCTCAAATCTCAAATCACAGTTAAATGCACTTAATTTGTCCATGCGTAGCTGTATCAGCTGCCTTCTTGTTGCATGCCATTTCTTTTCTTCAAAAAGTGTGCTGGGCTAAAACCCCTAAAATCTTAACGTCGCACCATCCTCAGTGTATTTCTTATGCTTAAATTGTAGAGATTTTCGTAATAGGATTACAACGTTTACATATCTTTCAACTCATTAATGAATTTCCTGCATATGTCTCATAGTTAAACTACTTCACAGCTCTGAAGGAGCTTGTTAACAGTTCAAAACAAGAGATTACAGACTTGCATGGGATGTAGGTTAGAATAGATGCTTCCAACCTGGAAAATGTGACCACTGTAGGTAGTGGGTAATGTTACAGCTTTTATGGACTCCTGTGAGAGTTTTTGCAAATTCAGGAGAGCTAAAATGTTTGGCTTTGCTCATTTGAGAGTGAACATTTTCCCCATTCTTTTTTTCCTTTTCTTAACCATCAGAAACATTACTGACATCCAATGTTTCATTTCCCTGCAATGTGTGGCTTACTCAGATCACACAGTGCTGAACAAAGGTTTATTCTGAACTTACTGTACTATTCAGGTTATTTCATTGCCATTTGTAAATAATGCAGTTATGGCAACTTCTATCAAAAAATCTTGTGTATGTCATTCATCTCTCCCTTGCAGATACCAATGGTAAAGTATTCTTACTAGGTGATTTTTGTGGAAGAATAAAATGTTTTTTCAGTGTTTGTATGTGGCACATTGTCCTCTTCAAACTTTTGAGCTTGCTTTCTCAAGATGTGTTCAAATTACGATAAGATGACAGCATCCACTGGACTTGCTGTGATGAGCAAACCTCACATGTATTTTAATCTATTTGCTTTAAAGAAAACAGGGCAAAGTATGAATTTTTGACAGGAGCTTAATTCAGTTACAACCCATGACTCATTACAGAACTAAGACACTGACAAATTCAGACTTACTGTGATTTATCAGCTTGTTCAGAGTGGGAGTTTAAGGGTGAAGTGAGATTGCAATCCTAGTTGTTTTGGAGAGTTTGAACATGCAAGCTTTCATAAAAATGTTAAAAAAAAAAAAAAAATCTACAATGCTTGCTTTCTTCCTGCAAGTTGGCATTTCATGCCATTCACACATTACAAAAATGCTGCTATTTTACAATTCCTATATACTCCAGGTTTTTAGAGGAGGAATAATTAAAGTTGCTCATCTATTCCGGAGAGAAGACCATCCTTTTCTCTATTAAGAAAAACAAAAAATATTGCCATAAATTACTGTGCCCTCATGTTCAGTATCAGGTTATCTTTTGAAGGCAAGTCAAAGTAAGAGGAGAGATCAAGAGCTTCTGAAGGTCAGGTTCCAATTTTAAAAATAATTTTGTTTAGCTCATTGTCTTAGCAGGAAATAAGTGGAGTTGAAAGCTAATAAGGGTTATTCTCCACAGTATCACTTTACTGAAAAAGTCAATTATCTTTTTCTAAATGAAATAATTTCTCAACATGGTACAGCTGTTATGAAATAGTAATATTTATCAGATGCCGGAATCACTTGACCTCACGTCATGTGCTTTAGAGGGCAACTGAGCCGGTAATTATTTTGCAGTGATCTTATGCCTGTGTCTCCTCCTATTCAAGATCTCTGTATCTCCCAAGTGTTCTGAGAAGAATTGAAATGCGTTTCCACAGTCATTCCGTTTCCTCCAATAGTCTCTTTTTGCATCATCTCTCCCTGTTCTGGAGAAAGTAAATACCAGTTTACTTTCATTGTTTGAAATCTAAATATGCCCCATTGATTCACCTTTAATCATTGATCAAATTATATTCACCTCCCGATGTCTTTTGAAGGCAACAAAACAGGACTAGTGGATGGAGAAACTACAGCCAAAGCCAAAGGCCTTTTTGTCTGTTGGTTCCCAAAAAGGAAAAAGTAGTTGATCTCCAAAAGTAGTTGATTAGCTGTTTATCCCCATTTTAGGTACAGACAGGCAACTGTCAGGATATTTTGGCTTCTGGAATTGGTGTATTAAGCTGGATTGTGCCTGGCTTCAGAGAGTCTCTTACTCATTGTTATGTTTCAGCAGGGAGGTGTATTCTTCTTGGGGTAACTGCATTTGGCCTTCATTTGTCAAGTTAGATTATATGCATTTAAATGAGGAAAACTTTATTTTTAGACTGCATAAAACGCGTCTAGGAATAGACAACACTCTGCTCTGTATTTATATTTGACCATTGATAATAGCAGTTGAAATAGTTATGTCAGTGCTTTGTTGTTTACTTGTTCTGGGTATGGACTAGAAAATGTGGATTTCAATCATTAAAAAAAAAAAACTTTTTGCAGATTAAGATGAAATTTCACAAACCGTTTTTGCCTGTTTTTTGAAAGAAAAAAAAAAAAAAAAAGCTGTGGAAACAATGGCAGCTCATACCCTATGCTAGGAAGTGCCCCTTCCCTTTGCTTTTGCAGCAGGCAGGAGCGTGGCCGGGGTGGCAGGGCTCGCGCAGGGCGCCCCGTGCTCGGGTGTCCCGGGGGAAGGCGGGTGCTCGGGTGCTGCCGGCTCTGCCGCCCGCTGAGGCTGTTGGGTTTGGTGTCAACGCCTAGAGCAGGAACTGGAGCTTTGCCTCCAAACGTGAGCTTAACCTGATTAGGATCAACGGCCCCCGCTGAAGAATAGAAAAGTCTGTTTTCTCCAGCCGTTCTTTTTATTTAAATCCTTCATTTCCTTTGCTTTTCTTACTAATGGTCAAAGGCAAATTGTTTCTCTTTTGGTCTTTTAGCAGGTGCAAGAAAGATTGTTTTTGTTAGAATACAAAGAAGCCAAAATGAAACAGGCTTGTTTTTGGTTTCCTTATGAAACAAGTTTTGGATGGGAAAAGGGCTCACCTTTCAAGTGAACGAGCCTGAGAAACATTATTTTACTTTGATCGAATAACAGACAAGAAATAGAAGTAGAAGCAATTTTGAAATTAACCTTTTTTTTTTTTCCCTTTGATAAATGTACTACACCCTTTTAATGATGAGTGCTTTGTGAAGCCAAGTTATTTTTGTTCATTTGCTCATAATGTTTTGTACTGGTAATTCAGACTGTTCAAAGTGTGCCTGTGTCTAGCAAACACAAGCTGCTTTCTGCGACTGGCTGGAGTCCCATTTTCTTGTATCTTAAATCTATGTAGTATATAACTCAGAGTTAGTGTTGCCTGTGATAACAGTAGTTTGTTTAAAGAGAATTCAGTCATAGCTTTATCCAACTTTTGGCAATGCTAGGGGAATCAGTTGTCATCTCCCATCAGCCTATAGCTACTATAACTGATGTGAGAAAATGCCATTGAGTACAAGTGATAAAAGAAATGCTTCATGAGGAAATTCTTTTAGCTTTAGATATATTCTTAATGCACATTGAATATTATGGGTGGTGTATGTGTTTGATATGCCCAAAATTTCAAGAGTAGCGAGTATTTTCAAAAATATGTTTTGTGAAATTGGAACATTTATACAGGAAAGTGTATCTTGTTAAGAGAAATCATGAAGATTATAATCTTAAGCATTTGAATTTATAGTAGCTTTTTGCTTATGGTTATAATTTAGATATATTTTTAATTGCTTTTTATGTGTGGAAAGAGAAGTCACCAAGTAGTTTTTATACACATGTCTGTGTTTCAAGACATACTTCACTGAATAATTCAGGTCAGAAGGGACCTCAGGAGATGCCTGGTCCAACCTCCTGCTCGAAGAAGGGTCAGCTCTGAGGCCAGACCAGGTTGCTCAGGGCTTTGTCTAGTCTGATTTTGGAAAACCTCCAAGAACAGAGACCACTCTGGGCAACCTGTTCCAGCGGCTAGAACCTATCCCAGCATGCAACATCTGCCTGGGAATTAAGTATTTACAGTTATCCATGCAAAAATAGAATATAAGAAGTGTCAGGCAGCCTATATTGTAAGTAAAGAATAGAGCTTTGAGTCAAGTAACTGAATAACAACATCATGAGAACTCTGTCAATGAATTAGTGTATAAGTAGCCCTATAGTTTGAGAAAAGCATCTATGAGTTGTTTTATTTATTATTTATATAGATATATATATATTCTCCTGGCGTAGCGTCAGCCACATCTCAGTTCCATTGCGGAGATCACGTTCTACCGTCCACAGCGAAGTTTTTGGGTGTGCTTTGCCATTCTCATTGTCTTGCTAAATTGTGCGAACTCTGAAAATAAGGATTCTTTTCCCCTGAGTAATTGTATAAGAATTTTCATAACACCATCTAGCTCAGTAAAAAAACTTCCTGGTTTATTCATCTTTCTAGATGAATAAACTTTCTGGAGCACTTCCTGGAATTTCTTAACTGCACCACAAATAAATAGTCTTTACTGCAGATGGAGCCTAGGTATGGATTGTCACTTCTGCTGGAATATACTGGAAATACACTTGTTTATCTTAAAACTTCGGAATTTATGCTGTGTTGTATTTCTACTTCTCTGCTGCAGAACAATTCACTGCTTATATCCAGTATCCTATGTGCTTGGCTCATCTTGTGCTTTGAGAATGTTACCTCAAGCTTGGAATATTCTTAGATAATAACAGGGTAATAGAAGATCAAAGAACTGATGGAAGTCAATATCCAGCCGTATATGTAATGATATACCTTTTTACTTTGGCTTTGCGCGTGCAGGTACTGTGTTCTAGAGGAGAAGAGTATGTAATATTGAAAGTAACAACTTCTAATAGTGATAGTCTATGTCATGAATGGAATTGAATACACCATGCTGAATCCAGGCACTTCTACTGATGCATGAAAGCTGATTACCAAGCGCTTGATGTTTTGCATAGCCTAATACAACAATCTCCTGCTAAAATCACCATGGCCACTGTGTCTTCTGAATTTGTTAACTGATAAGCCATACACATATATCAGAAATGTGTATGGTCAGTAGCAGACACAGCCGTGTTCAAGGTTCAGAATTGTGGCAGGCTGCTACAAGAATGAGTTTTATTAAAGCAGAGCAGGCACCCGTATTTTACAGTGTGGGAGCTCATCCAGGTACATCAGGGGCTCTTCAAGAAACCTGGAATTTTTCTTCTCAAAACAGCATGGAATGGTCCAGTCTCTTCAACAGCTAACTTTTGGAAGACTGATACCTATCCAAATACTGCACAGGCAGCCTGAGTGACACTGAAATGCTGGTAAGTAATATTTACTTATGAATTTTGCTCTTATTCTCTAGTTTCCTTTTAATGCCTGTCCCTTATAACCTGACAGATATTCTGTCACTATTTTGGGGAAATTCTGGAAAAGGAGAGAAAAATAGTAGTAGATCCTTCTTTTCTGTGTACATATGGTCCATCTCTATTTTCTTTCTCTTTAGTGTCCAAACGATGTAAGCAGTAATTGGCGAGTGTCAGAATTACTGTCCTAGGGATGGCGTTATGCCAAGAAGCTTCTCATTCTCCACAGAGAACACCATGAACATAATGACACAGAATGCAGGGGACTTGATGATTATAAAGTGGATGTGTAAGTTCCTTATATTCCTCTGTGATACTTGACTCCCATGGTGTTACGTATGTGTAGTAACTAGAGCATTCTCTTCCTTTCAGAAATGCTGCAAGTCCAGGAAAACCCATGGTTCTATCAGGTGAATATATGATACTATCCTGCAAAAACTAGCAAAGCTCCTAACAAACTTTCTTTTCTGCTGACCAAAAAGAACCAATGTTTGCTTGTTTATGTTGGTATTCATTATTATGACAAGATGAGGTTAAAAAGTGTTTTTTACATTTTGCTCTGAGGGCAGAAAAGCCCCTATCCTCGGGCTGTACCCAAAATCTCTATTGTACCCTTTGATATGCTGTATGCAGCACAGCCTTCTATTTTCCTTTATAATGATTCTTTGCACGCTGCTGGTAATACTGTGGTATTGACTGGGTATGGATATGAGTAACTCATTAGCTTTCTTAAAGAAATAAAGCCATGTTTTTAACTGATGTATCTGTGTCTTTCATTTTGAGTGCTCAGGAGTTACTAATACCAAAAAAAAAAAAAAAAAAAGATGGGAGTTGACTTCCATGTCTGCTAAGATTGGAATTGGTAGCAGTTCCTTTTTTCTGAACATCTTTTGTGGTCTTTGTGTACTAACCAAAAAATGGCCTTGTTCGTTTAGGTGGGAGATCTTGGATATTATGCAAATCCAAGTGGCAACTATACTGTGTGCATGCATGTCTATTTGTGGTACTCTGTGATACCTGTACAGACTTCTACTCACTTTTTTTTGTTTGTAGTTCCATATTTTTGCAAATGAACGGTGTGCTACTATTTGCACACGTTTAGCTATGTAGTAGTTCTTACTTGGGCTGAAAGCTGTACTGAAGGCCATGTTCTGTTGTTAATGACAACTTTCTTTTGATCTTGAGGAATATATAGAATGTAATTGATTAGATTTTTGTGATTCTTGCATGTGTTAGGGCCTCCATTTTTTACTAAGCAACAAATTGTAAATACCTTGGTGCAGTCTTTCATATTATTAATGGCTATATATGAAGAGGCATCTTAGTCTGTTCTCCAACTTTGGAGAGTTCTTTAATATGTTTTGCTTTTACAGGAAGCTCTCCAACATGGTTAAAACCTGTGGTTTTGCCTTCTGAGAATACTGCATCACAACTCAGAACTGGGGCCAAGCTGCTTTATCCAGCATTGCTTAGCCCAGCCATTCCTGAGCAGGGCTGTCCTTTGACTGTCTTGTGTCCATGTGAAAGTCAGCAGATTACCACTACTGTTCCATCTTTCACTGACTCTGGGTTTAAAGCATCCATAAGCAAATTATCTTTCTCATTTTTCCATCACCAGCTCCACAGCACAGGTTTTGTATACCCTTGAGGTAGAGTATTTGCAAGTAGCAATATCGCACTAATTGTCTGCAATAATCGTTTATAATAATGCTGCAAACTGTAGTTAAGGGCTTGCTATTTAAAATATTTTGCCTATGACTTCTTCCACTTTTCAAAAGCCAAAGGGCTGTCAATAATTTATGGGGTAGATATTGCTTGCCATATTGCTTAAGCAAAAATTTGTGACACTTGGTCTCCTGCTCAAAGAGACAAAACCCTGGCTCAGCTTTTGAAAATTATCTCCCTGTAGACAGAGACAAAGTTTACAAATACTAAGAATTCCATTTTTATTTAGACTAATCATGTACAGAGGAACATGGTCACTTAGGCTGGTGTACCTATATGCCAAGTACATTGTCAAGGTCACTTAGTTGAGTTTTTGGCGGGTGAGGAAAAAATTTTTAACAGTCTCT